TCCCTTCCTCTTTGTAAAAAAAAAATCAATAAAATATGTTTAAAAAAATAAAAAAATAATAATTATTCAAAAATTTCACACACTCATATTTGGATGAACCCCCCCCCCCCCCCCCCCAGTTTTTATTTTAACTTATTAAGTTGGGAGAAAATCCTAGCACATTATCACTGATTTCACAGATACTATTGCTAAGGATAGGGCAAAAAATAAATCAATTGAAAGACATATTAGGTAGATAAATAGTACAGGTAGTATAGAGATATGGTAAGAATTCTGAAAATGATACTTGGATGCCTGAAGTTTGGGAAATAATGAACTAAAATAAAATGAGTGATTAACCCAATATAATGTTTTTGTCTTAAAAGGCATTTATGAAGGCATCTTGCTAGAAAATAGATATAAAGTTTACTTATATCTTAAAATAGATATAAAATATACTTACAAAGTATGTTGGGTTTTATTACTTTTGAGAGGTTGCCTTCCTGGTACCTTGGGCCCACAGTGATTACCCCACAAGGTTCTTCTTTTTTTTTTTTTTTTTAAATATATGTTATTGATTTTTAACAGAGAGGAAGGGAGAGAGACAGAGAGCTAGAAACGTCGATGAGAGAGAAACATCTGCCAGCTGCCTCTTGCACACCCCCTACCGGGGATGTGCCCGCAACCAATGTATATGCCCTTGCCCGGAATCAAACCTGGAACCTTTCAGTCCGCAGATCGACGCTCTACCACTGAGCCAAACTGGCTTCGGCAACCCCACAAGGTTCTGAGGAAGAGAGGTCAGCATCTTATTATCTTGGATCTAAAAGGTACTAACCACTGCTAGAGTAGTTTGGCATTGTGGGACTTTCTTTTCCTCAGCCTTTACATAAATATTTACCTAGATTTACCTAGTTTCTAATGTTGGGCTTTTTCCTCTACAATCGCTATTGGGGAGAGAATATAGAGTTCAGTACTCAGATTCTCTGTGACTTTTCTGCCGCTGTCTAAGGCATATGCAGTATTTTTCCAGTGTAAAAGGTGAGGGAAAATGGCCAGGGGCCTAAAGTATCCGTGGCCCTTGTAGAACTACCATTGCTCCTAAATTTTCCTTTTTGCTTTCCCCAGTTCCCACTGCCACCAGGTTACCTACACTCCACGGGCACTCTAATCCTCGGTTGGCCTCGATGTGGACAGATTCCTCTTTCTGCTAGCACAGATTAGATGAGAGTGATTTTTTTTTTTTCCACCCCAGCAACTGCATTGAAAATCCATGGTAAAAAGAAAAAGGGGTGGGGAAGAATGTTAATATTTATTGAGTTGATAGAGGAGAGATTGCTTATTCTAAGATTATTCTAAGATTATTCTAAATTAGTCAAGCCTGGAGTTGCTCATTGGACAATCATCACAGTTTCTTTTGCTAGTTAACTGGTTTGGATGGTAGGTCAAATGACTGAAGAAGAAATGTTTTCATCTCAGAAAAATCTCACCTTCTGATAATTCTCTTGATAACCTTAAGAATTTTGACAGGGAATATCACTGCTGTGTTGTATTAGCCTAAAAAAAGGCGTGTATAAGGAATATCTAAAACGCAAATTGTCTAGCTAGTTTTACAATTAGTAAGGTGGTAGTCAATGTAGCTTGCATTGTGTTTGCTCTTTTAATCTGAATTTCTTTAATTTTGGATTGATGCCTCTTTTAAAAAATGTATTTTTATTGATTTCAGAGAGAAAGAGATACAGAACATCACTAATGAGAGAGAATTATCAATTGGCTGCCTCCTGCACACCCCACACTGGGGATTGAATCCGCAACTGGGCATATGCCCTGACTGGGAATTAAACTGTGACCTTCTGGTTCATATCGGTGCTCAACCACTGAGCCACACCTGCCAGGTTGGATTACTGCTTCTTGATGTTAGGAACTATGTATTCCTAATGTCTGGCATACAGTATGGATTGTTACAAAATAAAACTTGAAGACGTAATTGGCTTTATTAAGCTAGTCATGAATACAGCTGCATATTGTCTAGCAACTAGTAGAGTGCTCGAATGCCTATGCAAAATGGAGTGTTTTTAAGGCAGAAGGAGGGTTGGGACTAAGAAGTTAAGAGTGGATTATGTTAGTTGATGACAGGCAGTGGGGGTCTTACCTGGCATATCAGCCTCATTTGTGTGAATCAGGAAATCTCAGATTGATTGGTTTAAAATTACACTCTTGGGAGATTCTGAAACTAAAATTAGGGTAAGTATTTAATCTAGCTTTTGGTATCATGGGCTTTTAGCACAAGGGAGCACTTCTGGGCCGGTGGCTTTTCTTTTTAACAATACTCAATAAATGTTTGTTGAATGAATGGAACTTACAGGTTGTTATTCTTTTCTCAGTATATGTTTTTGGAAGTATGAATCTTATCTTTTTGTCTTTTAAGTCATGAAGAAAGGAATAACTTTAAAGATTACATGAAAGTTATCACCTTGTAATAAAGATAATTTCTAATATTTCTGTTGGGATCCTAAAAAGGTCAGGCGTGAAAGAATACAGTTTGCTTTTATTTATTTCCTTTTCTTAAAAATTTTAAAATTGATATTTAGAGAAATGAAGGAAGAGAGAGAGAGAGAGAGAGAGAGAGAGAGAGAGAGAGAGAGAGAGAGAAACAATCATACAGTTGCCGCCATCAGGTGCCCCAGCCACACTCCGGCCTGCAACCTGGTATGTGCTGTGACCGAGAATCGAACCCACCACCTTTTGGTATACAGGGCGACGCCCCAAGAACCAAGCCAAACCAGGGCCAGTCTACTTTTAAATACTAAGTATATGGATGTTTGGAAACTATCATTACAAATCTTTTCTCTTATTATCAGAGTAGTCCTTGTGTTGCAGTATATTTCTGTAAAGATAAAAGTTTTACATTTAAATAATAAATATTTAAAGAGAATGAAATGACATTTTCCTGCTTCCTTATAGCTAAATGTTGCACCTGTGGTTTAATTAAATAAAACATGGTAACACTTTTAAAAAGGGGATTACAATATAGCTTTTGTCTCTTGAGAAATCCCAATTTTCTCTTGCTTCTACTTTTAGAAAAGAAATTGGTTGAATAGGGAAAAAAATGATTTTATCTACATGGCTGGTGTGGCGCAGTGATTGAATACTGACCTGTAAACCAGGAGATCATGGTTGATTTCTGGTTAGGGCACATGCCTGGTTTGCAGGCTCAACCCCCAGTAGGAGGCAGCTGATAAATGATTCTCGCTGTTGATGTTTCCGTCTCCCTTTTCCTCCCTCTCTGAAATCAATAAAAAAAAAAAATTTTTTTTAAATTCTTTTATCCAAGTCATTTATGTCATGTTCGAACTTTAAAGAATCCATTATGGTAAAGGCTAATTTAATTCCTGCTGTTTTTTCCCCCCCTTTTAAGTAAATAGAAGAGAAAAATATAAAGGGTAATGACATTAATACCTAGCTATTCCTGTTATTTCCTCATGAGAACAGAAAAAGGGGAGAGTAAGTATAATGCGTTAGCATTATTATTTGGGTTAATGTTTATTGTCAATCAGTTATCATCGTCAGTGGGCAGTCAGATTTTGACTTCACACAGCAATAAAAACTAGGGATTCCTGATTTCCAAACTCAGTACCAGTTAGTTTTCTATACCATTTTTTGATATATTACTAACTCAGTTTTTCATTTTGGAATGAGATAAAATTGACCTACCTGAATTGGGCAGGTAAAAATTAAATTACTCTCTGATATATAATAGCATGAAAAAAAAGCATATGAAATTGTTATAAATTTTCTCAGTTTTTAGTTGCCTGACTACTAGTGAAAAAAAAAGCATTCAGTGGAGTAGTGCTCTGATGGCCTAACAGAAAACAGTTATCACTTAATTTCACACTTTCAACATGTTTAATTCAGTGTTTTTCAAAGTGTGATCTTTAGACAGTAGGATAGTAATTATCTGGGGAACTTGTTAAAAATTGGAGGTTCTCAAGTCAATGGATCAGAATATTTTGGAGGTTGGCCCAGAAATAAACATTTCTAACCAAACTACCAGTGATTTTTTTATATAAGCTAAAATTTGAGAACTACTATTTTTTCAAATCAAAGTTTGACTATTTACTTGATTTATTTCAAACCCAGGTCTATGTAGATCTTTTATTTTTATAAAACATGATCAGAATCTAATAAGATAGGCTATTATGATTTTCTTTCATAATAAATGAAAAAGATTGAGGATAGTATTAAAGTCATTAATTCCTTTAGCTTTAAGCTTTACTTTAAATAATATTTTTTTCTGGTATAAAAGTAAGATGTGACCATTGTGAAATATTATGAAAATTTAGGAAATTATAAAACGATAACCATCATACTATTTCCTGGAGTTAAGCATTATTCTAATTTTGATATGTTTCCTTCCTGTATTTGTTTCTGTATTTATCTTTCCCTTCTTCCTTTTTTTTGTCTCTATGGAAAACAACATTTGGTGTTTTTATCATGCCTTTTTTTCTACCTAACAGAGAGCATTTTATCACATTATTAAACTATTTTTCACAAACATAACTTTTAGTATCTGCAATATATTCTGTCATTTGGGTGTATCTTAATTTATTTAACTATCCCCCTGATATTGGATGTTCATGTTGTTTCAGTTATTGCTGTGAAAGGATTCCTTTCTGTTTAAAATTTTATCTGACTTCAATTACTTTCCGTTGGATAGGGTTATATGGTATTTACTTTTTTTGTATGTGGTCAAAGGGAATAAATATTATTAAATTCTGTTGAATATTGTCCAGTTGTTGAGAATAGTGTTTATTCCAGTATTTTCTTCCACAACATACTTGGGAAAATGCCAGAAAGAAACAAGTAGTTTTTTTAAAACTAATTTGTTAAGGAAAGCATAGTCATCATTTTAATTAGTATATCTTTGAATATTAATTTTTGCACTGTTTTATAAGCTTTGGCTTTAATTTTTTATCTAATCCAAATTTTCGTTTTGTTTTAGGTCTTTTCTGTCGCTTGAAATGTCTATGATTTTATCTGCCTCAGTCATTCGTGTCAGAGATGGACTGCCGCTTTCTGCCTCTACTGACAATGAACAAGGCACAGGCGTGCAGGAGTGCAGAAAGTACTTTAAAATGCTCTCAAGGAAACTTGCTCAGCTTCCCGATAGAAGTACACTGAAAACTGGACATTATAACATCAAGTAAGTCTTTAGTTTGCTTCATGAAAATTACTTGCTTAGTGGATGTCATTTAATGAAATAATTGGTGAAAATAGAAAATAGTGTTTGTTTAGGAAAACTTGTTTGAGTTAATCATGTGATTCTTAACTTATATTAAATAGTAGTTACGCTTTTTTATCTGGCTTTAGAAAAATTAATAGTTTTGCAGACCTCAGATATGCAAGCTTATAAGCTGATCACTAGGTATTTAAATTTTTTTTTAAATATATATTTTATTGATTTTGTACAGAGAGGAAGGGAGAGAGATAGAGAGTTAGAAACATCGATGAGAGAGTGTCATCGATCAGCTGCCTCTTGCACACCCCCTACTGGGGATATGCCCGCAACCAAGGTACATGCCCTTGACCGGAATCGAACCCGGGACCTTTCAGTCCCCAAGCCGACGCTCTATCCATTGAGCCAAACCGGTCCCGGCTGATCACTAGGTATTTATTGGTGTTCTTATATGCCTAGGCAAACTGTAATGGGAAGTTTAAAAAATCTTATACCTGCCTTAAAAAAAAACTTAAGTTTACATTCTAGTCAAAGGGGATAGTACTCTTCACTATTTATTGTATCTAAAGAAAGTAAAACTGATTGGATAGAGAGTGACTTTATGGTAGTCAAGGGTCTCTCTAAAAGATGAAAAAGAAAGCAGTCATATAAAGGATGCTATGGATGAAGAGCAAGGCTGAGATAACAACAGCAGGTGCAGAAGGCCATCAGTACAGATCAAGATGAACCAGAGATGCAGAAGCAAGATGGGCAATTAATAGAGTGGCAGACAGTGAGGTCAGAAAGGTAGGAATGGGATAGGTAATGTAGGGCCTTCTAGGCTATGAGAAGGAGTTTGAATTGAATAGTACAATAGGAAGGCATTGAAGAGTATTAAGATGGAGAGTTATATATCTGATTTTGGCTTTGAGTACCATAGATCATTGGGCTACTCTGTGAAGAATGGGCTCTAAGGGGGAAAGAGGAAGAAGAGAGATCATTTAGGAGACTCAGGCAGCAGTGATTTTTATAACTTAAACTAGGGTGATAATGTTTAAAAGTGGTGGGATTGTGGCTTTATTTTGGGAGTAGCACCAACAAATCTTCCTCATGGACTAAAGTGGGATGTGAGAGAAAGAAAATAATTAAGAGTTCTTAAATGAGCAAGACAGGAAGATAAGTGTTTCAGTGATAAAAATCAAGAGATCTGTCTGGGATGGTAAGTCTGAGATGCCTGTCAGACATCCAGGAGGCACTGTCAGGCAGGCAGGTAGCTGGATGTGTAAGTCTGAAGTTTAGTGAAGAAGGACAAGTATGGAGATTTAGATTTGGAGGTCAGCTTACGGTTTGGAATTAAAACCATGGGAATAGATAAGGCCACTTGGAGAGCGTAGACAGGAAACAATTAACTCCTGAGCAGTTTGATACTGATTGTGCATACTGTCAGAAATCAGATAAGGGCAAGGTCTGTACGTGTAGGTATATAATGAAGAGAGAGGGCTTCATTATTGAGAAAAGACATGAACCATGTCCTGAAGAATTAGTAAGATTTGGCTAAGGCAGAGAGGAGGTAAATCCAGTTCAGGGAGGAGAGGCAGAATAAAGAATGTGATTAATCTGCTTGGCCCAGTGGAGTGAATGATGATTTAGGGATGTTTTGGGAAATGTGAGATAATTTGTGTGATGCTAGAACCTGACTTCCGTGAAAGTTTAGATTGATAGATGTCACTTTGATGTAACAGGTCATAGGAAGCTATTACTACAGGTTTGAGGGAAGTGACTTGATAAAAAAAAAAAATGCTGACAGTGGAATATAGGGTGAAATGGAAAGTCCGAGAGGAGAGAGGCTAACTTATAATTAGGGCTGAACTAGTTAAATACAAACATAAATGCAAAAGAAAATGCCAGCCATAAGGACACGTCAAAAAAGAAACGGCTAATCTTATAAAATGGAATCCCAGAGATGAGGAGAAGGAAGGAACAAAGATGACTGAAACCTTGGAATTGGACAGAATCAAGTCTTTGGAAAGGGTTGCTTATGGGCCAGGGGAGGAAGGGTGGTGATGAAGGAGAGCAAGATAGTGAAGTTCCATTTTGAGGTGGGATAGAAATTTCGGAATCATTCACATAGAAGTTGAAACAGAGTGGAAGCACTCTGAGTTTCTGAGAGGCCCAGACAGAACCTTAGAGAATGGCGATAGTTGCTTGGATCACCTGAGTAATGGTGAGCTATTATTTTCTTACTAGAGGCCGGGTACACGAAATTTGTGCACTCAGAGTGGGGGTGTCTCTCAGCCCGGCCTGCACCCTCTGGCAGGCTAGGACCCCTTAGGGGATATCTGCCTGCCGGCTTAGACCCGATTCCCATGGGGATAAGGCCTAAGTTGGCAGACAGACATCCTCACAGTCCATGGCTCTCACAGTCTGGGACTCCTTGCTACTTACCGCCCACCTGCAGCAGAGACAGAAGAGGCTCCTGCCACCGCTGCTGTGCTCACCAGCCATGAGCCCAGCTTCTGGCTGAGCAGCGCTTCCCCTGTGAGAATGCACTGACCGCCAGGGGGCAGCTTCTGCCATCTGGTGGTCAGTGCACATCATAGCAACCAGTCATTCCACCGTTCAGTTGATTTGCATATTAGGGTTTTATTATATAGGAATTGGGTTTTCTGAAGGTATAATTATAAAAAGGTGATGGTGATGGTGGATATATCTAAAATGATATCTTAGGCTACTGTTACTTGGAGGAAAAAATTTGAAACATTTTAATATTTTATTTAATAGTCAGAGGCTCTTTGGATTCCCAGGGTTATTCTGCATTTTAGTTATTGTATAACGCTATAGACAGATACCAACATTATAGAAGATTGGCCTGTATATAGTATATTAATTCTGACAGATATCCTGGACTTAAACAAACACACACAACTTTTTTTGCAAATATTTTCTGTTCCTCTACCTTATTCTCTTAAAAGTATAGTAGAATGTAGTAACATTTTAAACACACCTCTAATTCTGTTTAACTGTTGTGAATTCAATTTACCAAAAAAAAAACAAATAAAAATCAAGAGTACAGGTAAGAAAATTATGTAAAGAAATAAAATAAAGATAGAAAAATAGTACACTGAAATAACATTTCTGTTTAGAGATACAAACATGTCCTTTGGAGGTATAAATTATTTAATTTTTATTTATAGCCCATTCATTTGTTAGAAAGAGCCACCGATTTTGAACTTTCTTGTAGCCAAAACAAAAGGGGATAATGGATCGTTTACAAGATTCACAATGTCCATTGGATCAAAACATTGTTTTTCATATTGCTGAGATCTGATGACAGCCATAACAATGAGCTTTTTATGATTTTTCTTATAACATTATTTTTTATTTCTCTTAGCATTGTGGTTTCCAAATTTGCATAGAAATTGAGTTACTGGCCAAGACCGGTTTGGCTCAATGGATAGAGTATCGGCTTGGGGACTAAAAGGTCCTGGGTTCAATTCTGGTCAAGGGCATGTACCTTGGTTGTGGGCATATCCCCAGTGGGGGTGTGTGCAAGAGGCAGCTGATCGGTGTCTACCTCTCATCGATGTTTCTAACTATCTCTCTCCCTTCCTCTCTGTACAAAATCAATAAAATATATTAAAAAAAAAAAAAAGAAATTGACTTTGCTTTTCCACAGCAAACCAAACAAAGTAACTAACTAGATAATTATGTGCTAATTCAGGGTACTTCACATTAGATTCTGGTTGAATAGATAGAGGAAGATCATATTTTTGAGAAAAATTTAGGAGAATAATATTTAAAATTGAGAAACTTCCTTTAATTTTCTGTCCCTGGAAAAATGATGACTTTATCAGAGTATAGTTACTGAATACTTCAAAGTTCAGCTAACGGAGCATATTCTGTGGAGCATGGCTTGTGCTGGCACTATGCTTGCACACATACTAGTAGCTGCTCAGTGAGGGATGGTTGTTTTGGGAGTATTGGCCGTGTTCAGAGTGCCATGAAATTAAGTCTTCATTTCTCTCCAAAATTCTTCAACTCGGCTCATTGATTTGGGGCAGGATGTGTGTGCATAATCCAGTTTTGTGATTTCACATTACGTAGTGATATTACAGTTCTTTGCATAAAATTTTAAGGTATTTATCTGTTAAATAAGTTAAACAATACTTTCCTTAAATTGTCATACATATTTAATATGTAAACATTTGTCACTACTTTGGAAATAACAATGACTAAAGCAGTAATTATGAACCACATGAAAACTAAGTTGAATCTCATGAGATCTTAAAACCTTGAGACACTGATATTATGAGAAGACAAACGTCTTTGGGAGGCCAATCATACTTGTGAATATTAGTGCAAGAAATAAAATTTCTTAGTTCTTTTCACTGAATTCATTTGAAGTCTGATAATGGCTGTGAGCTTCATAGATCCTCTCCCTTCCTGAAGATTCACTTTCTCCATTTTCATCCCCAGACTGCTGGTATTTTATATTTGGGAAGGCTATTTTTATTGTAAGCTTACCTGCCTTTTGGTTTTAGTTCCTAGCAGTGCTTTTCTTTCACTCTTTGGTGTTATTTTCTGATTATAGAAGTATCAGAAAATGTCAACAATATCACAGTACCTCCAATTATCAGGCTCTGTACTTACGTTATCATTACATATCACAACAGCACTTTGAATGGCTAATGAATAGAGCTCTTCCCCATTGCTGAGAGCAGAAACACAACTCATACTGGCTTAAGCAAAAGCAAGGGTATTGTGAAGGGCTTCTTGGTTGGCTGCAGCCAGGATCTCAGAGGTCGTTACCAAGAATCTTTCATTTTTCCAGTCTCTTTCCTTGTGTATATAGGTATTTCCATGTAGTAGAGAATACTATACAGGCAGCTCCAGGCTTACTTCATTCCAGCTGAGCAACTCCTCCCCTTCGTGTTTCAAGAAAGGGACTTTATTGGTCTTGCTATGGTGTAGGTCATTTCTGGAGTAACATTGGGGTTAAAGGGTTGAGGTACTCTAAGTTGGATCCTGGATCACATACTCATCCTTTTGATGAACAGCTTTCCCAAGTCATAGGGAATAGATAGTAGGATTGAGATAATTTTCCAAAGAGGCGGCGAGAAGGATGCTGGGCAGATAGCCATTATAGTACTACTACACCTGTTTTATAGATGAAGGAACTGAAACTAAGCCACAGAAATATAAAGAAACTTGCTGAAACTCACAAAACTAATAAATAGTATATCTGAACCACAGTCTTTTGTCTTTAGCATTCTCATTATTCCGTGGTAGAAGAGTTGTCTCTCTAACTTTAAGCTTTCTCTTGACAGCATTCCTAATTCTCCTAATTATTTTCATTTTTTATGGAGATAAAAATTAACCAGGAAAAATAACTCAGTGAAAATATTCGCGCCCCCCCCCCTTTTTGGGGGGAGGGGGTGTTGAGAAATAATGAGGAACAGAATATGTGTGAAGTCTAAGATTGATGAAGGGGTTATGGTCTCATTGGAGACTAGATGTTTGGTGGGGAGGAGGCATAGCAGGAAAATCAACCCACCAAAGCTGCCAAACCACCTGGGGGAAGAAAATAACTTGTGGTTCCTACTTTCCTGTTTCCTTTCATTACTAGCATTTTTTAAAACCCTTACTCGAGGATATGTTTATTGATTTTTAGAAAGAGAAAAACATTGATCTGATAGAGAAACATCAATTATCGATAGTTGCCTCTCATGCACTCCCCAACCTGGGACCACACCTACAACCTAGGTATATGCCCTGACCGGAATTGAACCCACAGCCTTTTGGTTTAAGAGGTGATGCTCCAACGAACAAAGCCACACTGTTTAAGGAGAAATCTTCAGTTCTCAGCACCATATATGTCAAATAGGCTCTTATGAACTGGTCTAGGAACTTCCAATGTCATTTATGTGATAAAATGATTTATAGGTGCTATAAACTTTTGCAGTATTAACCAATAAATAAATTAGGGATTACCTGTGATAGATTATCTAAAAAAGTGAGAATCTATAATACATTTTCTGGGGTGTGAAGATGTTAGGGTTAGAGGAAAAGAGTGAATCAGGAAATAGATGAAATGCAGAAAAGGAAATGAAGGATGTCAAAGGCAAATTTTCCTTGCTCTGTGTTTTACCCAAGGCTTTGATGGTATAATCACCTTTGGCCACTTAAAATAATCGTTTTCTCCTTTAGCTTACTATTATAAGTTGCTATCAACTGGTATATTGTATATTAATGGTGTTTTTTTTTTTATTTAATGAGGTTAAAGTGGGTCTTCATTCATGGGATAACTTCATTATTTAGCTCTTCATGATTGGAGGGTAATTGAAAGTTGGCCTAATAAGAGAAGAATAGATGAGAAAAGAAGTTCATGGTAAAATGCCCCTCATGGTGGACACTCAGTGTCACTGAGTTCTCTTTCCTGTCTTATCTCCTCACTGTACCATTGAGGGCAAAGTCTTGTTTTCACCTTGTTTCCTATAAGTTGTATTTGGTTTAGATTTTTAAAATCTATAAGACATACTCACTTTTATAATATCAAAGATTTTTATATTCAATGGTTGAAGTGCTTTATTTTAGAGACTGTTATTCAGTGTGGAAAGTTCTATATCAAAAATAATATTTTTCTTATACTTAGCAATTTTAACAGTAGATTAGAGATCAATGGCATGCATGTCCTACTGGAGAACTTTTTCATCCAGGAAAGCTTTTTCCCCTTTGCTTTCTTCCCCAAGTGATAAATAACTGAAGTGTTAATACCATACTGTGTGTTCCTCCGTAGGTATATTCCCCTTTTTTGTCTACCATTTTTAAACCACGTCTAAAAATAGTATTACATTAGCTTCTTTAATTTTTTTTGCAAGAATATATAATGTTATCGATAATATCTTCATTGCCATTTGTAGTAGCAGTTTATGGTGTAATATAACCAGTCTTGTGAAGCAACGAATTACCTTAATTTACTTTGAGATTTTTAAATCTATGTTTTTTACACTGTAGTTTTATTAGCTCTCTGGGAGTGAGCTACATGATGTTGTGCACTGAAAATTACCCAAATGTTCTGGCCTTCTCTTTCCTCGATGAGCTTCAGAAGGAATTCATTACTACTTATAACATGTCGAAGACCAACACTGCTGTCAGGCCATACTGTTTCATTGAATTTGGTAAGGGCTTGATTTTTTTTTTCCTTTTCATTATCCTGTCTCCAGCCAGTCATAAGCGATTTTTTTAAAAATCTTTACTGGGGGGAGGAATAGGGGAGAGGGAAAACTCAGAAAATTCTGCTACCTTGCCTTTAATAAAATAATTTAACAAGGGCTCTATAAATTATGATAACATCTTCATTTAGATGCATATTAGAAAAAATTGAGTTTGAGCTGTGGAGGTGATTTTGATTATTGGCACAAAGAATTAATTCCCTAGGATAGTTTCTGAATGAGAAATTTATAAGTCAGAGATTCAGAATTTTGTGTTTGTGTGATAATCTTTTATAGTCTGCTTAATATAGAATAGAAGTTGGCAAACATTTGCTGCAAAGGACCGTATAGTACTTATTTTAGGCTTTAAGCACCATATGGTCTCTGTCACAACTACTCAGCCCTGCCATTACAGCTGGAAAGCAGCCATGGGCAGTGTAGAAATGGATGAATGCAGTTATATTCCAATAAAACTTTATTTACAAAAATGATCAGCAGGCTAGATTTGGCCTGTGGGCATTAGTGTTTTTGACTCCAGATGTACAAGGGAAAAAATAGTGAAACCAAGTTATAAATTGTGAGAATAAAAGTGGAATATTATTTAGGACAGCAGGCAATCGCCAACCTCTCGGACCTCGAGGACCGCCAATGGTCTGCAGACCACTGGTTTGCGACTGCTGATTTAAGAGATATCTTGGAAGATATTTAGGAATTGTCTTTTATTAATTTTTTTTAAACATGCATTCTAGTGGTATAAATAAGAAAACAGGTTTATAAGAACATGCAATTTACAGTGTATGTTCTTATGGAATTACAACTGATAAATACAGACTTACTATTTTATGAGATATGAATCCCTATAAAATTAAGATTTTGATTTAAAAATTAAAGCTGTTATTTTATTGTTTTGTTGTAGAAGTTCAAAGTAATTCATTTAAGTGGATATAATAGTAGAAATATTCTCAGTCAAATAGTGTTAAATCATTAGTTTACTTACAATTATTAATTCCTACAATATCGTTTCTAGAGTGAGCAACTGATAACTCCATGATATATTAACCATTAAACACAAATATCAGGACACTTAATGACAATTCAACAGTTTTGGATAACAAATTAAACAGTTTATCTGCAAAATTTACTACCCATAAACATCACACTCTCAAATTATTTAATTAACAAATGACTGCAAGGAAATTTATTTTTTATTTCACATAGATAACTTCATTCAGAGGACCAAGCAGCGATATAATAATCCCAGGTCTCTTTCAACAAAGATAAATCTGTCTGACATGCAGACGGAAATCAAACTGAGACCCCCTTATCAAATTTCCATGTGCGAACTGGGGGCAGCCAATGGAGTCACATCTGCATTTTCTATTGACTATAAAGGTGCTGGTAAGATTTCTTCTGGTGAGTGCTGGATCTCAATTATTTTATTTTAAAAACTGAGGAACTCTCAAAATCTACTTTTATTTTAGTATTTTAAAGCAAGTACATGAGAGAATGTAGAAGTTCAAAGTAATCCTTTCTCAGTGGTTTATGTAGTAATCTACTAGATACGTGACTAAACAGGAAAATATTTTTAAATAGCAATCTCAAAAGAACTGTTTGGTAGGGAAACATTTAAGAGGGCTTCTTTGTAAGCAAATGTTTCTGGAAGTGAATAGCTTACTTATACTATTAGTATATGTTTAGAGGCATGTGAAGTACTTTATATCAAAATGGCTAGATATATTCAAGGCCAGGATTTTCGACAGTCACAGAAAATGTGACCATCTACTCACACCTCCCCTCCCAAACAAGGACTTATAGTTGTGACAGTTTGAAAATTTCTGCTTAAAATGGAAGCCTCATTATTTTATAAGGTAGCTTATGCCATAGTTGAATTGCTTTGTTTAAAAAAATTCTTCCTTATTTTTGAGCTAAAGTGTGTTTGCTATAATGTTTATCTACTTGTAAAAGTTCTGTGACCTCTACCTCCCTCTTTTCAGCACCGTCAGAACTTTAAGTCAGTAACTCTGTGTCCTTTCTATCCTGTTAATCTGGTCAACTTCATATGAAATATCCTCATTTCCATTAGCCTTTTTGTCTGTGACATTTTTAAACCTTCCCTATCCTCGAAGCTTTTATTTGTTAGTATTCTTCAAATGTGGCATTCAGGACTAAACACAACACTTCATATTTGGTTGAATACAAATTATGGGAGAAAAGGGGAAACAGATTTCACTAGCCAGTTGAGAAACAAATGAACACACAAATACCAATAACAAGCCCTGGCGGAGGGGAGGTGGATGAAGACCCAGAGTTGTTACAGTATGTTAACTAAAATGTCCAACAAAAAGTTACAAGACATGCAGAGGAAAAGTATAATACATACACCGTGGGTAGAGGGTAGACAGGGAGGAAGCAGGCAATAGAAGCTGCCTATGACAGTGATCAGTCGTCAGATTTAACAAAGACATCAAATTAGTCAATATAATTATTTTCAAAGAACTAAATGAAACCATGATTTAAAAAGTAAGGAAGTGCCCTGTTTGGTGTGGCTCAGTTGCTTAGAGCGTCCCATATATTGAAAGATTGCAGGTTTTATTCTTAGGGCACATGTGTAGGTTGTTGCTGGTTCCATCCTCAGTTGGCATGTGTTTGAGGAGCAACTGATAAATGATTTTCTCTCACATCAGCATTTCTCTCACTTTCCCTTACTCTCTGAAATCAATAAAATCATATCCTAAAAAAAAACAAAAAAAAACCCAGGAAGAAATGACCTTGCATCCAGTATATAATATAAACAGATATAAATTATAAAAGAAAAAGAACCAAATGGAAATTCTGGAATTAAAAAATACAACTAAAATGAAAAATTGACTAGTAGAGTTCAATAGAAGATTGGAAATGGCAAAAAAAAAAAAAAAAAAAAAAAAAAAAGAAGATAGATCAATAGACGTTATGTAATCCAAAGAACAGGGGAAAAAAGAATTAAGAACAAAACCTCAGAAAAATATGGGATACTATTAAGCACACCAACATATGCATGATGGGAAAACCAGAAGAGAAGAGAAAGAAGCAGGAGTATTTGAAGAAATAATGGCTGAAAAGTTTCCTAATTTACTTAAAAAAAAAAAAAAAAGTACCTTTTTAGGAAGCTCATTTAACTCCAAATAGGATATATGCAAGACACCTATAAACAGTTAAAAATGTTGAAAGACAAAACTGAGAAAACCTTGAAAGCAGCAAGAGAAAAATAACTCACCACTTAACAAGAGAACTTCAAAAGATTAACAAGTGACTTCTCAACAGAAATAGTGGAGACCTAAAGATAATGGGAGAACATATTCAAAATACTCAAAGAGGAGGGAAAAAAACCTGCCAACCAAAAATCCTTATGTTTCAAAACTGAAGGTGAAATAAAGACATTTGCAGATAAGTAGAAAATGAGAGAATTTGTTGCTGGCAGACTTGCCTACAAGAAATACTAAAGGGAAGTACTTCAGGTTGAAAGCAAATGACCCAGACAGTAATTTGAATTCACACAAACACACACATGCACACAATCAAAGAGCAATAGCAAAGGTAATTATAAAAGATAGTAAATCTACATTTTTCTTTTTAAAAGCAATTGTATAAGATAATGTATATAATGTATTGTTGGATCTATGATATGTAGAAATGAAATATGTTTTTTAATAATAGCACAAAGGTGGTGGATGGAAGTAAAGCTGCATTGGGCAAAGGAAGTACTCTAGGTGGTCATTTGAATTCACAGAAACAGACATGGGAAAGAAAAGGAAATTAAATCTAAAGTAAGAATAAAGGAAATAAAAAAGATCAGAGCAGAAATAAATGAAAACGAAATGGGAAATAGAAAAACATTGGAGAAAAATCAAACCAAAGGCTGATTCTTTGACTATAGGGTCTGGTTTAAGGATAGACATGTAGACCAACAGTAAAGAGTGGAGAATACGGAAACAAACCTTTGCATTATGGTAAATTCATTTTTTAACAAGGGTACTATGACAATAGTGAAAGACTAGCCTGTTCAGAAATCATGCTGGTACAAGTGGATACTTATATACAAAAGAATGAAGTTGGATTCCTACTTTACAAAGTTATCTAAAAACTAACTCAAATGGATCAAAGACCTAAATTTAACAGCTGAAACTATAAAAGTCTTAGAAGAAAAACAAAGATGTAAATCTGAGAGGAAATACAAAAGTGTGGCTTTGTATTAGGCAGTGATTTTTTAGATTTGACATCAAAAGCACAGTGAAAAAAGGAAAAATAGATAAAGTGGAATTCATCAAAATTAAAAACCCTTGTTTTTCAAAAGACACTATCAAGAACTTGAAAATTATGACAATCCACAGACATAGAAAATATTGGCAAATCATGTATCTTGTAAGGAACTTGTATCCGGAATTTATTATAACTCAACAATAAAAAGACAATAATCCAATTTTAAGAAATGGTAAAAAGATTGAAAAGACATTTGTACAAAGTGCAGCTGGCTAATTAGCACATGAAAAGGTACTCAGCATTATTAGTCATTAGTGAAATGCAAAACAATAAGGAGATACTATTTACAATCATTAGGGTGGGGGTCCCTGCTGGGGTGCCTGGCCAGCCTGGGTGAGGGGCTGATGGCTGATGCGGCCCCCCGCGACCCAGGCTCCCAGGCCCTCCTTTGTTTTTTTGGTGTGTTTTTTTTCAGCCCCTCCTTGAGTGGAGGCCAGGATAGGCTGGAAGCAGATATCTGGGATTTATTTATCTTCTGTAATTGAAACTTTGTAGCCTTGAGTGGAGGCCAGGGCTGGCCAGGATGGGTGGGAAGCTTGGCTTCCTCCATCGTGGGGGGAAACCCAAGCCTCCTGCTTGCTCCAGCTCCATGGCCACCACCATCCTTGTTGGGTTTTTGCATACTCATTCTTGATTGGCCGGTGGGAGTAGCAGAGGTATGGTCAATTTGCATGTTTCTCTTTTATTAGTGTAGATTAGTGGCCAGGTGCACAAAAATCATGCACAGGGTGAGGTGTCCCACAGTCCGGCCTGTACCCTCTCCAATCTGGGACCCCTTGGGGGATATCTGACTGCTGGTTTAGGCCCAATCCTGCTGGCTCCTAACTGCTCATTTGCCTGCCTGCTTGATTGCCCCTAATCACTCTACCTGCCAGTCTGATTGCCTCCAACTGCCCTACCCCCTGACTTGATCACCCATAACTGCCTTTGTCTTGGCCCCACCACCATGGCTTTGTCCTGAAGGATGTCTGAAAGGTCTCCAGGTCTAATTAGCATAGTACCCTTTTATTAGTATAGATAAAAAAGGAATGAAGTATTGATACATGATACAATACTATGCTGCTGTAAAAAAGAAGGAATTCTTAACCATTTGCAACAGCCTGGATGAAACTAGAGAGCACTGTGCTAAGTGAAATAAGCCAGTCAGTGAAATATAAATACCGCATGACCTCATTCATTTATGGCTAATAAAAAACATTATAAACTGTTGAACAAAAATAGATAGAGGCAAAGAAGCATGGAACAGACTGTCAAACTACAGGGGGAAGATAGGGGAGGGTGGGAGCGGGGTAAAAGATCAATAGAAGGGCCGAAACCAGTTTGGCTCACTGGTAGAGCATCGGTCTGCGGAGTGAAAGGTCCCAGGTTCGATTCCAGTCAAGGGCATGTACCTTGGTTGCGGGCACATCCCCAGTAGAGGGTGTGCAAGAGGCATCTGGTCGATGTTTCTCTCTCATTGACATTTCTAGCTCTCTCTCTCTCTCCCTTCCTCTCTGTAAAAAATCAATAAAATATATTAAAAAAAAATAAAAGATCAATCGAAGGATTTGTATGCATGCATATAAACACAAGACACTGGGAGGGGAAAGGGCAAGTACCAGGGAGTAGGGGAGACCAGGGGAGGTCAATGTGGGGGGAATAAAGAAGACATATGTACTCCTATTTATAATATCTTAAACAATAAATAAGAAACAACAACATTGTGCTATGTGAAAGAAGCCAGATATAAAAGGACACATTTAAAATTTCATTTATACAAAGTGCCCAGAATAGGCCTATCCAAAGATGTAGAAAATAGATTGGTGACTGATAGGAAGCTGGAGTGATGGAGGAGCAATAGGCAGTGACTATATTAATGGTTATGAGATTTTTTTTAAAAAAAAATATATTTTATTGATTTTTTACAGAGAGGAGGAGAGAGGGATAGAGAGCTAGAAACGTCGATGAGAGAGAAACATCGACCAGCTGCCTCTTGCACACCCCCTACTGGCACAACCAATGTACATGCCCTTGCCCGGAATCGAACCCGGGACCTTTCAGTCCGCATACCGACGCTCTACCACTGAGCCAAACCGGTTTTGGCTAATGGTTATGAGATTTCTTTGAGGGGTTATGAA